GTTACTTCCCAATGGGCTGGAGTGATAGCACAGCAGGTTGGGCATTTGCCTTGCATGCGGCCGACTTGGCCAGCCCTGGTTCGATTCCTCTGTCCATCTCGGAGAGCCCAGCACACTACCAAGAGTATCTTGCCCGCATGGCAAAGCCTGGCAAGCTACCCGTGATGTATTCGATATGCCAGACATAGTAACAACGAGTCTCACAATGGAGACATTACTGGGCCCACTCAGGCAAAACAATGAACAACAGGAGGACAGTGCTAAAGTGCTACTTCCCAACTTCCCCTGACCCCCACCCCTTGCAATCTGGCACTCGGGTCTGTACTCCAGTATCTGAGGCTTATTATTGATATTGTCCTCAACCTTGAATTTTTTGGGGGGGGGTCACTACCCGGCAATGCACAGGGGTCACTCCTGACTCTGTGCTCAGGAGTTCCTACTGGCGGTGCTCAGGGGACCATATGGGATGCTGGGAATCGAACCCGGGTCAGCTGCCTGCAAGGAAAATGCCCTACCCGCTGTGTTATTGCTCCAGCCTCAACCTTGATTTTTATTTCCCCACATACCAAAACTGAGTGGCATAGCCCTTTATTTGTCCTGCCTCTGGTTTATTTCTCTCAACATGATCCTCTCCAATTCCACTGTAGTGGTGGCAAACTGCATGACTTTATTTTTTTTCTAGTATCCACTTAATATTCCATTGTGTATATGTACCACATATGACAACGCTTTGCCTGATTCTTAGCATAGAGTAGCCACCGTAGTAGAACAGAGAGTAATTAGAGTTGTATTTGATTGCTGTGCACCTCCCAAACCTAACTACAATTGTTGTGTATCTTTGCAGGTAAATCATGTCTTACTCTGCTTGTTTCCCCAAAGAATATCAGTGGTTTTTTTTTCTTTTTTAGCACTCATCCCAAATTACTTTGGTGTATAGATGTCACTCCAAGTTTTCACTTGTTAGAATGTTAGAATGTTAGAATGCTGCTAAATTTCTGGCTGGTGTCTCTGAGTTTTTTTCTAGCTCATTCCATCCTACCCTTAAGATCAGATGAGTTTGTTTTTTTATGAGTTTGCTGTTTCTCCTAAATCTATCACATTATCATACTTAATTACCAGAATAGATTCTCACAAACTACAATTTATTTTATTATTTATTTATTCAAAGGTCTGTCTTTGAAACTCTCTGTATAGATATTCCAGAATGGCATCTTTTTTCTTTCTTGTTTGTGTTTTTTTTTGGAGGGGGGGTCGCACTTGACAATACTCAAGGCTTACTCCTGGCTCTGTGTTCAGGAATTACCCTCGGTGGTGCACAGAGTCCTAGTGAGATGCTGGGGATTGAACTCATGTCAGCTGCATGCAAGGCAAATGTCCTCCCGCAGTGCTATCACTGCTTTTCTTTGTATAGATTATCAATATTAACTTTTCTTCTTGACTCTAATATTCATCACCCATTGCTTCCTTACATTTTGTATAAACATTATTATTCTCTGCTCTCTCATTAAAAACTGTAAATTGCGTGAACTCATACTTTCATTTTAAAAATAATCTAAATCACCATAATTTACACTATTGTTTTATGTTGGGGTTTCATGGAATCCCACCCTCCACCAGAGTGTCTTTTTACCTCAACCATTATCTCAAGGATCCCCCAACCTTTCCCTTGCCAACTTCCTGCCATGTAAACTCACTCCTATAGACCAGTTCACAGATTCTGTTGCTTTGGCCTATTGATTACCACCTTCATATGGGTCTTTATGTTTCACAGATGAGAGTGGATACTGTATCTGTCCCTCTCTTTCTGACTGACTTCACTTAGCATGATACCTTCCACTTCTGCCCACGTAGTGAGAAATTGCTGTCCACATAGTAAGGAAAGATGATCCCATCTTTCCTTAGAGCTGAGTAGTATTCCTTTTTGTTTCTTTTAGTAAGCATTTGTTTTTGTTCAAGTCAAGGAGAACATTATTTGCATGTGGTGGGCCCAATTACTCTCATGAACCCTCTAGCACCCATTGGAGTGATCCCTGATCAAAGAATCAATGTAACCCCCAAATAATCAAAAACTATTTTTGTTCTCAAGGGCCTCAAATGTGTCTTAGTGTTAGAGTACCTGCCTTGTGTTGGGGGGGAGGGGGCAGGGGTGTCTGAGTTCCATTCCCAGCAGAATTGTGTTTTCCCATTGTTCTCTACATGGTTTGTAAAAGATGGATGAACTTTCCTAACACTTGAATAATATGTGATATTAATTTCCATTATAATAGCTTTCCTAAGCATGCATTTTAGTCTAACATTTTTACTTAGAATTTCTGGTTTAAGGGTTGTATGTTCTAAAGAAAGTTACTGTCTTAACTGGGCAGCACAGACATAGGACTGGATAGTACAGACGTGGCCACAGCAGGGCATTTTTTTCTGTGGCTTATAGGTTATGGAAACATATCTAAACGGAAGTTTTGTAACTTCATGGCTTTTATATTTTTTCCTGTATGACTTCAAACGGCATAATTGGGTAGATTCTAAACATATTTAACATATTGATCTTTTTTCATAGAAAAAAATACTACATTACTTTTTTATTTAGCAATTATTTTCAGTAGTCTTGAAAAAATAATTTCAAGATTACAAAAAGTATTGATAATTTAAATATAAAATACAGATGTGTAATGAATATATATATAGTTGTAATGGATCTGCATGTTATTTAAAAATTCTTTGGAATCCAGCATCAAATGTGTATATTTCGTTTTCAGACAACACCTATGCACGTAGAGATTTACAGTCCATTATAATAACAACATAATTGCTCATTCAGTAAGATCCTTATAATAACATGCTACCAGTGATTAGCAGCCCACAGGTTAATACCTAGTGCTTTTGATGATTAGCCTGCTTTCTTTACCTAGTAATACCCATAATCTTCAATTGTTGTTTACCAGTAATTTAATAATTGATACTCTATTTGAGATGTTTTAAAGAGTGTTAAAGGCATTGTTTGCTAAACCATATGTTTTTAGTTTTCAAATTTGCACAAGTACTTAACCAAGATAAATGCCAGGTGTTTATTGTATAGTCTCACTTCACGGTCCTCTCGTTGTTCATCGATTTGCTCAAGCGGGCCCAGTAACGTCTCTATCATGAGACTTGTTGTTACTGTGTTTGGCATATCGTTCACAGCACATCATTTTTGTACTAAAACTCATATAATCTATTTTCACTATCCATATTTCACCTTCAAATAAATTGGTTTACTAAAATAACTCTCAGGTCTATCAGTGACTTTAGAATTTATCCATGCCCAGATTTGTCTTTTGAATCTCATACTCTCCATCCCTTGGCCAACCCCTGCTGTTTCTTTCCTTTAAAGACAGCAACTTGCTGGTACTCTGTTTAAATTTGAAGCAGAGTAGACTGAGCTAGATTAACAAACTAAAAGAAGTCACAGTCCCAGCAAAAGATCCTGTGGTTTCTTACCCAAACAGACACCCCCTGTGCTTTAGAAAGGTAGCCTATTGGGACTGGAGAGAGTGCAGTGGGTAAGGTGCTTTCTTTGCACCTGAATGACCCATATGATACTCATCACTCCAAATGTCTTCCCACACTGCCAGGAGTGATCTGAGCACAGAGCCAAGAGTAAACCCTGCTCACAGTTGAGTGTGGCAAGAAAGAAAAAAAAAGAAGAGAGAGAGAGAGAAAGAAAGAAAGGAAGGAAGGAAGGAAGGAAGGAAGGAAGGGATATTGTTTTCAACATACATGTACCTTTAATGTAATCATTTTTGCTATAATGAAACTATACAAGTTTGACATTACAAATTTATATATCAGGCAAAAAGAAACATATCTTGAACCAGCTATATATTCCTTAGTCTAGATGAAATTTAAGGGTGCTAAATACAAATATTTATTTGTGAATTTTTTATGTAGAAGTATCATTTCTAGACATGATAAATTTGCACATAGATTTGGCATTATAACCATAGCTGTTTTTGTTTTTATAGATATTATGACAGCGATTTTATTGTCAATTTAATTGAATATGATAATGCTAACAAGTCTTAGAACTCACCATGAAAAATTAGATGTTAAGTCATAGCAGATCATGTTTGCCATAGAAATCCTTTGAGGTACAAAAAAATAATATGTTTATATGACCTGTTGTATTTGATGCTCAGTGTTCAATTTGTCACTCATTTAATTTTTCTGCTCCCTGCCACCAAGGGCTGCTGCATTTTGTACTCTCGATTTGACTTTATCCCATGTTCCTCATTTAATAACTTGGATCTAGAAATCTGGAATGAGTTCTAGCATGGGAAAGGAGTTTTTTTGTGTAAAAAGTAAATGAGGAATGAAGAAGGTGGTAGGATGAATCTTTGCCTCTGTGTGGAGGATGCTAATACCCAGAGATGCTGCCACTAGTATCAGGTATTTGAATGATGCTGTGTTTTGAACTTACAGAACTTTTCTGGAGAGAAAGCATTGTGAGGAGTTCAAATTCTGTTTGCAATAAAAGTAGTTTCCAATCAATAGAATATATTACATTAGAAGAAGGTCAATTCAGTAATCCCTGGCTAGTAGACTCTGAGGAACTAGAGTTAAAGATAGCAGTGATCCTGGGGCCAGAGCAACAGTACAGCTGGTAAGGCTGTATGCGACCAACCTGGATTCAATCCCCACCATCCTATATGGACCCCTGAGCAATGCCAGGAGTAATTCCTGAGTGAAGCACCAGGAGTAACTCCTGATTATCACCAGGTATCACCCAAAAAGCCAAAAAAAAAAAAAGAAAGAAAGAAAAGGATAGCAGTGATCCCATAGAGGTGGTCTCTAAAGGGCAGTGCTCCTTTTAAGTGTGAGTCTCTGAAGTATTTAAAAGAAATGGGAAGGCATCACAAGTCACAGTTAAATAATTGTCAGAACGTTCCATATTAAATTGCATCTTGAATCAAAGTGTGTCATACTCATTCACCTCCTGAAGTGTTGTGATTCCTTAAGAGCCATACATTCAAGATTGTGCTAGATTCAGATGCTGCAGAATACGGAGGACATCAAAGACTGGATCATGGCACTGAGTTCTTTTCTGAAGCTTATGAACATAATGGGCGTCCCCATTCTCTTATGGTAAGTAAAGGCTTTTAAAATTATATTTTGCTGTATTTTAATTTGATTTTTATAAATTTTTTTATGTTGCAGTACTGCTATTTATTCAGTCACTAATTAGCTGATTGAATTGGGCATGAACTCCACCTTACTTTTTTTCCATTTTTTTAATAATTTTATTTATTGATTTTTATAATTTTTAATGGTGTGTTTTTATGCCAAGAAACAGCTCTTCAACAAGTAAGTGACAAGAGAAAAACAACAACAGCGATAGCAACAACAAAAAAACAGACAGATGTGCTTTTTCAAGCTGGTGTGGGAGTGAATTGAGTTTGGGAAAATAAATAGTAAAAGATATTTAGCAGACAGTTGGGGGAAATTTGAATATTAATAGGATTAAAATTATTTCTCAACCCATAACAGGAATTCAGTTTTTATTTCAATTATGAACATTTCTATCTTACGTAGCAATTTCTTTCCCTTGTTATTACTTTCTCTATAATATTTTACATCAAGCAGATTTCTACATTATTGACTATCTAATGAAGTTTTAACTGCCTTTAAAAGATGAACAAAATATGTGTATTTTGTCCATAGAGACAGTTGAAGACTAAATTCATTTTAGTTGTAAAATTCTCTGATATCCTCATATCACTTAAAAAAAGCATTATATAAGTACTTTAAAATTGTAATGTGACACAAATGGAAGAATACTGCTGTAAGCTACTAGGGTTAAATTGATTCCAAAATGCAAAATTTAGGCTGTCTCCAAAATTGGGGGTAATTCTTCATTTATCTCAGGGCCACATCATAAAGATGAAATCCACATCTACACTATTGTTTTCAATTTTCAGAACCAATCTTCTAGTCATACACTTTTCTCTTCCTCTATTCCCTCCCTCCAAAATCCTCCCTCCCTCAGTTCCCTTTCTTTTTTCTCTCTTAACTTTACCTTCCTCCTTTCTCCCACACTCTCTCCTCCCTCTTCTCCCTCTTGTCTTCAAGGTATATTTGTTTTTACACCATAGAAAGAATTAGACTAAGAGGCTTAACTTTCAAGTACACTGGCCATTGGGGTCTTAGGTGTGACTGTTTTATTTGTGAATGGCATCAGTGATTAAATTAATATAGCTTTATATGTTTATCAATATATAATATTAAAGGGAGCTCAAAAATGCACTCAGATTAATCAAAGACTTCTGTAATTCGCCAGACTATTCATTTTTTTTTTTTTTAGCTCTTTGGGTCACACCCAGCGATGCTCAGGGGTTACTCCTGACTCTGCACTCAGGAATTACTCCTGGAGGTGCTTGGGGGACCATATGGAATGCCAGCGATCAAACCTGGGTTGGCTGTGTGCAAGGCAAATGCCCTACCTGCTGTACTATCCCTCCGGCCCTTGGAGTATTCAATTTTTATATGCACAATAATATATATGCATATATGTGCATATATATATATTTATATATGCATATATATATGTGTGTGTGTATAAAGTTATACAGTGAATAAGTTTTAAAGCTCAGAAATATCCAAAAAATTTCAAAATCCATCAAGGCGTTAAGGAAAATGAATCAGCTTGAGGGCCACTTCAAGAGCTCAAGGGGCTAAGAGCCTACTTTGCCAGTGGGGCCCCAGGTTCAATCTCCAGCACTGCATGATTCCCGGAGCACTGCTAGGCGTGACCCACAAGCATCCAGCAGTCTGGGAGCATCCCTCCCATTACTGCCTGGTGGGATCCCCAAACTAATAAAAAGGATGAATCGCTTGAAAAAAATTTACATGGAGAAAAATTAGCTGAATAGAATAAAGGTGAACTTGAGCCAGTTGAGCTAGACAGCAAAGGTATTGAAGGATTCAGACAGAAAAGTTTTCATGTATCCAACTTTCCTAAAATTTTACATTTCTATAAAGGATTCTGTTAGGTAGGGAGGCCTCCTAGTTCAGCGAAAAGCCCACAAAATATGACAGAGAACCTGGGATCACTCTCCCACTCTGCATTTTTCTTAGCTCTGAGAACGTGAGTAACTTAACCTTTTTGGACCTTGGTTTCCCTTGCCTGGATAATGATGACTAATAATAGTATCATCCCTACAGCCATAGATTCCTAGGAGGCAAGGATACATTCATTAGCACAGCCCAGTTTTGTGCAAACTGCAAAACGTCATCTTCCGCTGGTATTGAAAGTTATTATTGTCTTGGCCATCAAATGCCTATTTAGGTCTTTTAAGCAAATGGAGATACTAGTTACACACTGAGGACACACAATTAAGACCGCCTCCCGACTTTGGGGAAATTAGAATCTTAGATGAAGGCGTGCAGTCTTTCAGAGTGGGCAGAAAATACCCTGACATCCTCCAAAAGTATTCTGTCATAATTAAAATAAGCCAACTAACCAGTAGGCAGCAAAAAAGTCAGGAGATTACTTTTTCAGCACTAATTGAATTGATCTTGCAAATATGGGATGTGCAACTCTAAATTAGCAAGTGGAATGGTTTTGATGGCAGGGAGAGGAGTGCAGCTCTGTGAGCCCCGGTGAAATAGAAAGGGCCTGAGCCACCGCCGTAATGGAATTCTGATCCAGCTCGGTCAGAAAAGCTGAGATTAGCCAGCTCGTCCCAGCAGCAGCATCTTGTTTTCCATGACTCCAGGTGCTTCAGGAAATATTCATTTAAATAAGTCTTTAGGTTCCAAATGAAATGATTGCTGGTTTTGATGTACGACTAAGAGAGCCCAAAATAGATCAGCAAATCCAAGAAGACAGGTTTTCCTCTTGCCAGAATTATCCTCCATGGAGCTGGAGAGAGAGAGGAATGAAAAATAAGACATTAAAAAACATAGTTATTATAAGAATGTTTCATAATGAAGCTCCTTATTTGCCTGATTCATTTGTTCTGGGGAGCAAATGAGCTTTCTGTCTATGACCCAGAGTACCAGAGGTTACTCCTGCAGCTCAAAATACCCAGAGGCAGGGACAGGTTAGGATGTCTCCCCTTTCCATACAAATTTTGTACCTCACACCTAATACCCAACACTTGCTAAAGCTTAATTTCCAAGCTCAGTAATCCAAAGGATCTGCTGAATAAGTGTCAAATCTGCTTTTAAAGATAGCAACAAACAGAGCCCAAAGGAATCTTAAAATAGCCACCATGTTGCAGCATCAGCAGGTACTGCTCTGAAGTGGGCTTTCTCTGCTCCATCCGTTGAAACTGGGAAGTACTGCATGTATACAACCACTGAAATGTTTTCACTAAGGTCAGAGTAGTTCACACATGCCAGGGAGCGACAGAACAGAACTCCTCCCTTCTGCTTTGGGTGCAGTTGCTGGAAATTCATTTCTGTGTAATCATTTATGTATATTTTGATATCAGAAATAATCAGTTAGATGATCGCCTCTCTGTCACTCAGTGTGCTGGAGAAAGAGAGGGTGCTTTCCTTCTCATCCCTGGTTCACAAATTCAAATTTTATAGCCCATGTGTAAGAACAGATACTACGGAACCTGAAATGAATTTGATTCTTCACAGTAACTCCGACCAACTCTATGGTGAACACATGAATCAAATGCGTTTGAACATTTATTATTTTGCTATTTAGAAGTAGATCTCTTTATCTTTACGTGGTAGATCTGTTTATTTCAATTCTAATTTGGGGATTTCAAAAGTAGGCCTCAGGGGCTAGAATGATAGCTTAAAGAGCTGACTACATGCTTTGCACGCAAGATGCCCGGGTTTGATTCCTGGTACTACATAGTCATCTCACTGATGCTAGGGAAAAAAATACAAACACAGAACAGGGAGTTGCCTCATGCACTACCAAACCCAGAGTAGACTTTTGGTTTAGATTAGGGAATCAGAATGGAACAGATGTCTCTTTACCACTTCTCATTTGTAGTTATTGAAAATGAAACTTGATGGCTCACAAATACAATTTTATATCTAGATTAATAAAATTATTTTGAAATTTCAAATAAAAATACAATCTTGGTACACCTAAAATTGGACCCTTTTGGATATTTCTATATGAGTGATTATATACACTTTTACATAAAAATACACATTAGCATCTCCTAATACAAAATTTTTATCTAGAAGTATGTTTAGAAGATATTTTATCAAATAAAGCATAAAGGAGGAGATTGAAATTATTTTCTATAGCATCCTATTAAAAAGTAATTTTAAAGTACTTGTTAAATTTTATTTTGAAAATGCATATTGACTGAGTCCAAGGCCTTTTTTTTTTTAAAGAAAGATACCATCCTACGATCATGTGCTGTTGTTAAATTTAACAGTTTTAAACACTGTCCTCTAGTACTGTCCTCCTGTTGTTCATCAATTTGCTCGAGCAGACTCAGCAATGTCTCCATTGTGAGACTTTGTTGTTACTGTGTTTGGCATATCGAATATATCACCGGTAGCTTGCCAGGCTTTGCCATGCGGGCGAGATACTCTCAGTAGCTTGCTGCACTTTCCGAGAAGGACGAAGGAATCGAACTTGGGTCAGCCGGGTCGCCATGCAAGGCAAACACCCTACCACTGTGCTATCGCTCCAGCCCAACAGTTTTAAGAAATATTAATATTTAAATTATTGTTATTATTAAGTTATTTTATTAACAATTTCAACTTGTTGATACCCGAGTTTTGAAAATTATGTAATTAATTTTTGGAACTAACTTATCATCCTAGAATATTATGATTTACCTGACATAAATGAGTACATTATTGTCTGATTTTTTTTTGAGCATGCCAGTAGTGACCATAAAGCTTTATTTAGAACAGTCAGTCAAAATAACAGAATGGATTAACATGCATTTTTGGTTTCTTAATAAATGAACTGGATGTTGCTATGGCATGTTTCTTGTGAAAAGTGGCTGTGAATATATCAATAAAATGTAAAATGCATTCCTTTGCATGGCATTGTTCATAAGTTAATGTGATCCTAGCTACAAAATGGTGTTGAACAGCTAACAAATTGGCAGCTGCAATAAGTTTGTTGGCATATATTATCTTTGGTCAGGGTACTAAAGTGATTTCCATATATTTAAGTGTAAATTGCTATACTTAAATACAATTAAACATTTATTTATATTTATATTTATTTATTGTGGGGAGGGTCACATGCAGCTGTGCTCCTGACTTACTCCTGACTCAGTGCTCCATCACTCCTGGCAGGGCTTAGGGGCACCACGTGTTGTGGTCGGGGTAAACTGGGATGGGATTGGCTGCATGCAAAGCAAGCATCACCCCGTACTAACTCTGGTCCACATTCATTTTAAGTCTATTTAAATTAAACTCTTTTTTTTTATGCTATATGCATCAAAACTAATTTTTAAAATTAAATTTGTGAAATGTGTTTCAGAGTTTTAACTTAACTCTAAATTGTAGGGGTTCCACACTTGGACGGGGCTGTAATTATCTTCTTTTAGATATCAGATCTGATTATCTCAAGTCTCTTAGCATAATCGGGAGTCATTTCCTAACCACTAAAATATTTAGTTTTTGTACTCAGAACCCTAATAAAGAAGAAAAAAACTCAAAATCCCATAACTTGGCATAGTTAAGAAAAACACTTGCTTGGGGAAGTTCGTTCTTGTTGCCTATACTGCAAGAGCTCCAGAGCAACATAAACACATTCTGGTAATTAACACTGCAGTGAAAAAAATATATAATTACACAATATTCCCATTAATGATGGTATGCAATTATCAAATGAAGGTTTCTGAGCAGATAATATTAAGGGGTCTCTAAGTGTGAATGGAGTTGCCATCATAAAGCTCTTTATAGAAAACAATCAGCATCATATAGTGAGAATACATGAAGCTTTTTTTTTTAACCATTAAAGGCCATAATTGGAAACTCAGTGCTAATATTATAAATCTTGAACTCCTCATGCCATCCTTTTAGTTTTATTCTTCAATTTAGGATAGAGTGTTTTTCTCAACTTAAAATGCACATTAGATTGTTTCTGTGTTATCAGTTTATAGTTGTCGATTATGTTTCATTAACGAAGTCATTATGAGATTATGAGTCAGAGTAGATAGAACACTTGGCAGGGCTCAAGAAGAGGACTGCCTTGTCTTTTTGTGTCATTTAGGCCAGATGCTAGCAAGATTCATCATTATTGGATGTAGGCCTGAAGTATGTCTCTTTGCAGCTTTCCGGGATCCCCAGGCTCATCTGAATCCTTTTATCTGCACATTTTATCGCAGTACCTTTCTGTTTCTTCCATTTGCTTTTAGGGAGACCACACCTGGTGGGGCTCAAGGGCTACTCTTAGCTTAGTGTCCAGTGTCCACTCTCACTCTGAGGTGCTCAGGGGACCAGGTGATGCCGGGGATCAAACCTAGGCCTCCTGCATGCAAAGCCAGTATTTAGCCTGTTACACTCTCTTGAGCCAGAGGAATGTTTTAAATGTAAAGGATGTTAAAATTGTTTCAATCCATTGTTCATTCTTCTACTGAGAAGTTTCCATCTCAGGTTGCCTATAATAGAAAGAGTCAAAGACATTCTGCTTCTCATCTACTGCTGTACTAATTATTTATGCCTGGCAACTGACTACACAGAACAGAAGAACTCCTCATTTGAAAGTTAGAGACTGCCTCTTGAATAAGACTTCTAGAGGGAGTTAGTCAAATATAATTTTTTTTTTTATGCCTGTTTGCCCTCTGTTGCTCTGTTGTTCTGGTCAGGAGATTGATTGTAGAAATACGCCATCCTCTGAACTGTGTCTATTTGGATCATTGGTGTTAGTCCTGCTTTACTCATGAGTACTTCCAGCTTCCTTTTGTTGAACAAGTTTTATAACATCTTACCTATCATAATCAGAAAGACTATTGAATAAAAATATTGCATTAGTAGCTATATTCTGATGTTTAAATGTTACGAGTCATTTAAAACAAGGTATAAATTATAGGGAAACAGTGGAGTATTGATGAAATATGTGGTTTCTTCACACTAAATGTCTTCAGGGATATAATATTTATCTTTTGGAAACAGACTTATAAATCAGACTATGAGACAATAACTGTTAACATTTGGGAAAATCTTCTCAAAATGATAATGATTATTTCCTAAATAACTATTACTTTTAATTGAAGAATGCAAAAGCTATTTCCTAGCTACTAACATGCATGCCGAAAATTTCTTGAAATGTCTTCATTTTAAGATTGTTTTAATCTTTGATGTTTAAAACTAACCAACTATACTGGTATGTCTTTTATTTAATTTTTTTTTTGAAGAATCTTATGAGTTCTTTATCACAGAAACCTTAAGGGAAAACATTGTGTTTACTTGCAGTGTTGAGACATAAAATAATCTCATTCAATGAAAATCAACCATTCTGTCCTTTATTTTTTTTCCTAAAGCTGTATTTGCTTTGCATCTTTCATTCTGATTCTAAACAATAAAAGCCTTTTTTTCTTTTTTTAACGATCAATCAAGTGTTCACTTAAAGATAAAGTGACTGAAAAATAAAAATACTCATTAGAAAAGAAGAGATCCTGTCACAATAATGCCCACAATCTGTAATGTTATTTTTGCTATTGGCTTTGGTAAGGGCTGGAGCGATAGCACAGCGGGTAGGGCGTTCGCCTTACAAGCGGCCAACATGGCCGACCCGAGTTCGATTCCTCCGCCCCTCTCGGAGAGCCCGGCAAGCTACCGAGAGTATTCGATATGCCAGAAACAGTAACAACAAAGTCTCCAATGGAGACATTACTGGGCCCGCTCGAGCTTTGGTAATAGCAATTAAATATACACTGTATAAAGTAACATATAGATAAGCATCAAGCAGTTCAAATCGCTTCTCAATTTTATAAAAATCAGTATATTAGGAACCATCTTGTGAAATATGCACATATTAACCCTACTATTACATGCTCATTATTCATTATTTTATTTTGAACTACCTAGCATCATCATTGACACTTATTAAGTAGCTAAGAGCTGTGAAAACATATCATATGTCACAAAGTTTACACATTATAAGCACTGTAATGATGAAGTGGAAAAGAATAGGGGTGGGAGAGAAAGACTGCCTTGTGCAAGGCATATACCTTTTGCTACACATTCCCTCAGGCATTACCAGCCCGGATTCCACCACATGCCTGAGGAGCCCCATGTTCTTAGACCCTCCCATTGAACCCAGTTTGCCAACAAGAGCCTAAGCACTACACTTTCCTAGGCTCACTTCTGCCCTTTGCTCCTCCTTAGGTACTATTTGGGAAGTCAGGGAAACAGCAAAAAGTAAAGAACTTTCACACCTATTGTTATCAAGAGATCCCACTGTTAGAACTGGGATGTTCAAGTTTGCATGGTTCAAGGAACTAGCAAGGTTAGGAGTGTTCTGCTAAGAGAGAAAAATGGGCAAAGCCCTAGAGGTAAGGAAAGGTGTAGAAAGGAACTGAAGAACCTTGGCCAGAGCCTGAGGCATGAAAGAAGAGAGGAGTGTGGAGCCGAAGTCACCTGCAGGGAATTGTGTTGGGGTCTCTGCAGGGCAGGGAGAGAAGGTATTTTAAGTGCACTGTCAGGATTCTTTTTTTTTTATTAAAAGGAGGAGGGTTTCTTTATGTTACATTTAAGGTTCCTTACATTACATTTGAAGTTTTGTTCTTAAAATGACAGAAAGAAACAAAAAGGAGAATAGAGTGTCTTTATGTAAAGCAGTGTTTTGTATTATGATTTCATTAAACTGAGGAGAACTGCATGTGAATTGTAGGGTAGCTAGCTTTCCTTCACTTGAAAGGCCTTAAACAGCAGTGCCATGAATTTCCTGACTGCGGAAATCGGGTTTCTTAAGCTTATAGTGTCCCCTAGTGGTAATTTCTTTCAAAGAGTCTAACATGCATGTGGAAAATGCTAGAGAGATGGGTGAAGATGGGTAACTGAGCCTTCTCTCTGCTGGTAAAATTGTCAAGATAGCCAATGTTGCCAAATGTGAGATTGTGTTCATGCCCATAGCCTTTGAAATAAAACAAACAAAACAAACACAGTCCTCCCATTGTTCATTGATTTGCTTGAGCGGGCCCAGTAACGTCTCCATTTTGAAACTCTGTTGTTACTGTGTTTGGTCAGGCTTTGCCTTGTGGGGGAGGTAGCTTGCCAATCAAACCTGGCTCGGATGGGCTGGCAGCAAGCAAGGCAAATGCCATACCGCTGTGCTGGAGCGATAGCACAGCGGTAGGGCGTTTGCCTTGCAAGCCGCCAGATAGGCCAAGCGGATTTGATTTTTCCTTCCCTCTCAGAGAGCCCAGCAAGCTACCAAAAAGCCTCTGAAATAATGATATAAAATCTAGCACTGTTTTTTTTTCCCAATTGCACTAACCTGCTTGTGTTGACTTAGGTATACATTCCAAGCCGCGTGGCCCTCATCCTTCAGAATATGGACCTGCCCAACTAAGAAACCTGTTCTCAGCTCCAGGAGATGAAAAATGTTTACGTGTCACTCCTGTGACCTCTTGTGTGTGTGTGTATGCATGTGTGTGTGTTTCTGCCCTCATTGCCTCAAGATTATAATGTGTGAGCTTTGTAAAATAGACACCTATTCTAACTAAAATATCAAATACCTGAAATTCTGTACCGGTTCATGTAAACCCACTTTTCTTTATGAAGGAGGAATGATTGTGAAATTTTAGGCAAGCTAGACAGTGTTTTCTAGCTCTCTGTAGAGCTAGGCCTCTAGGGTGAAGTATTATATGTTACTTCTTTAAATAATTTGAATTCTTCATTTGATCCTTCAAATTTAAACCATGTGTCAAGTGTGATTACTTCTCTTGAGTGTTTATAACATTTTTAAAATGCCGAATATTTGGTGGCTTTGTTTGAATATCTCTTGATCTAAATAGCAAGGTATCAAGATTATTGCTCTTTGTTTTTGAAATCATGCTTAGAAATATTGTATTGCATATGAAGTTATATTAAAGAAGTGTATCAGCTATAGTATAAAATCTTTATCATGAACTTTGTCATGCTTCATTTGCTTAAGTGTTACCATGTGACCTCTCTTTTACCTGCTAAGTTGGTGGCTGCTGATGTTTTGCACTTCCAAAAGGCCTTAAAAAGCAAGTGTAACATTTCAAAAAATCTTTTGCTTTCAATAAAACTTAGAAAAATTACATGATTATCTATCTGTGTTAATGTCTTTCTTGCTGTCCTAAAGTGTTCTGAATGGAATAAATATAAAAATGCTGCTTTTAATCCTATTATCTTCCCTATACTTAACCTGTTTAACAAACTAGGAAGCATGGGGATTGATAATATTTTGTTGTTGTTATTCAAGTGTCAATTTGTCTCTTAAAATACATTCATATCATAAATTGACTTAGATATCCCAGCTACTCACCAACTGTAAACTTGCTCATTTTTAGAAGCTAAATTAGGGTTCAAGAGATAGTACCCAATAAGGCACTTGCCTGCAAACTGCCAACCTGGTTCACATCTCTGGCACTACATGACCCACTGAACACAGCTTGGGATCACTTTTGAAGTCAGAGTGAGGAATCACCCCTGAGCACAGTGGGGGTTCAGCCCCCAAACCAAAATAATAGTGTTTAAATAAAATACAAGCTGAATGAACTATCTCTACTTAGAGGACTGCTCAATCATAGGGTTTTCCTCAGTTCATTGAATAATAATCCACAGATCTTAGTAATAGGTAATTCATATATAACTAGGAAATTATGAGACACTTTAAACAAAGTATTTATCACTTTTAAAGCTCTTTTATCTTTACATTAATACCATCTCTTTTTGTGATTTTACTGATCATTCACACTTACTAGAATTCTTGGAAATCTTTCCATTAAAACCCTGTTCAGTATTAGAGGAGATTAACAAAAGAGGCATACTTTTATCGCTAAACCTGTATGTTAACCGTATTCCTTTAAAATTGAGTTAATCCTAGATTCTGGATTCCAATGCCTGTTACTGGCTTGATCTACAAAGTAGGCTAGATGGATTTCCTGAGAGAATTGGCAATCTTGTATTGATGATGAGACACACTGGGAAGCATTACTGAAAGCCTTCTGTGGATCTTTTTTTCTCAATACAGAAATGATTTTGTAATATCATTGTTTGTTTTGAGCCCACACAAGGTGGTGTTCAGGGGTTACTCCTATATCTACACTCAGGAATCACTATTGGCTTGCAAAATGCTCAGGGGGGCATACAGGATACTGGGTCAGCTGCATGCAGGGCAAGATCCTTACCCACCACACAATCTCTCCAGAACTGATTTTATATTTAAGCAGTGTGTGACCTACCTGTTACTGACAGCATTATGGCATGCACTATAATGTTTCCTGTTGGAGTTTTTAAGTTCTTACACTTGCATTCCTTATGTTCAAAGGGATCTGCCGATTCCCTTTCATTGCTCTTTAAAACTGACTATAAATTACTCCATACTCCAAATTTATTTCCTTGGCATTGTGACCTCTGGGGCAAACTCAAAAAAGATCAGACTGTTATATTTTTATTCTAAAGTTAAAAAGATCAGAGTCAAAAAGATAAGATGTGTTATATTTTTATTCTATTAACAGCATATTAATGTACTTTAGATTTTGTAGTTTAAAGTTAGAATGTAGCTTTATAATGTAAATGAATTGTCCATGTCAAGTGTTGCCCAACCGCCAGAAGAGCAATAAGTTTGATAGGAATTAAAAAAATACATATAAATGGAACATTGACTCCAAAATGTAGTGGCATCCCCCATTTTTCTGTCACAGCATTAAAAACATGTGAGATGATTGAGGGTGTTCAAGTCATGTATACTTTACTCGAGGTCTTCATTTTTGCATGATGTATTTACTTAATCCATGTTAGTAGTATTTATATTGATGCATCATCTGTTAGGATGTTCTTCCTTTTCATTGGCTATTTCCCATAATCATACTAAAAGCACAGCATTTTACTGTTTCTTATAATAATGTTTTATCTCTGATGTGCTTCTGCTATTGTTTCATTATCCAAACTGCACTTTACTTCAGTGCTTAACAGTGTGCAATGCTTAGTTCAAGATTTGCATATTCAGAAGACAGACTAGTGTTAATAGTCAAAAATTGAGCCATCTGCATTTTTCTTAGACTGTTCTTCATTTTGTGACACTGGTTTCCCCAATGGTCAGTTCCTTTCTGCTTTCTTTTCTGTACATTGGATTTTTTTCTCCCAATTTTCCCTGTTTGTCCTGCTCTTAGTTGATGTAGTCATCTCTAATGTAAAATGAAGGATTTAGTCACCACATTCCTCGAGTTCGGAAAATAACCAGTGACAACCAATTGATTTTTGTGTGTGTGTGTGTGTATGAAAACTGTAAAAATAAATAAATAAATAAATAAATGCCTGAATGTTTCCTCTGATCCAACCGCTCCCCTTAGCAATAGAAATTCAACATTTGTCACTGATCAGGTGTTTAGCCATTGCTATGTGGGCTCATACAGGTTGAATAAGGAGCCTATTCTTCAAATAATACAGAAGAGAGTGCGGACAGAAATGTGAGGGAAGCAGTGAAGGGTAATGTATTTTCCTCCCGTGTTTGGCTTGCAGCTTCAGGGCAAATATCTTTGCACCGTCTCTGATCCCGCAGCCATGAAAGCAACGTAAATAGGCTTTCTCTTGCGCTTACTGTTTTGAGCAGGCCGGAGCAGACGTACCTGATAGAGACCAAAATGTCGAAGCAGCCTTCCGACCGGCCTTATACCTCTCAGATGATTTCTTTTTGCCTATTTTGAGTCAGGTCCTGAACTGGGATGCTTTATAGAGGTGGGTTTCATTAATCTATATTTTCCTTATAGAGAGACAAGCGCTGAGCTGTGAACTTTACTAGGTAGAATATTTTGATGAAAGAAAATAGAAATCTAAGCCATGGCAATGTCGTGTCCTTTATGCAGGCAAGTTCATTTATCATTCACAATGCATTAGAATTGAAATGGAGATAAATTTTCCCAGTAAAGCCAGCCTTTGGGGGAAAAAAATATCAAATGAATTCTCTACTAATTTTTCTGCCCTGTTATCTTATTAATGGTGATTTGGAGAGAATTGCAGAGATACATTCATACTTTAGGGCAGCATTTCTTAATTGGCAGTGTGAGGAATTAAAACACAGTAGCAATAAAGCTCCCCCCCACCCCCATCTTTAATCTGCATCTGGATTTTAACTTTCCGCAAAAGCTCTACAAAGAAAGTAATGTTTATTTACATGGAAAAATACATTTTATGATAGATATGCTAAAGGGCACGCCATTCAGAAGTTCACTTCTTTCTTAGAGATTTTTTTTCTTTATCTTTTCTGCCAGAGCACGGAGAGATATTTGGTCCACATATACACCTTGTAGAATGCTTCACCCAGAAGCCTGCATTGTTTTGAAGGAGTAGCATGATGTAATACTCAGGAGATCCAGGCTCAAATCAGAGTTGTTTTTTGTTTCTATTATGGGGGTCACACCCAGTGGTCCTAGTGGCAGTGGCTGGGAGTACATGCAGTGTTGAGGATTGAGCCCAGCCATTTTATGAGCCGCACCCCTGGACATCTAGGGATGTGCACCTTAGTTTGTGAATCACTTGGTGACTGTGACTTAGTTTTTAAGTGTGGTTGAAAATACAGCTAAAGGGTGAGAGATGGGGAGAAGGGGAGAGAGAGGAGAGAGAGAGAGAGAGACAGAGAGAGAGACACACACAGAGAGAGAGACAGAGAGACAGAGAGAGAACAAAGGTTGAGGCACTTTCTAGCACACAGCTTTGGCCATGACCCTGGTTTGAATCTGAGCACCACGTGTGGCCCCTAACACCTCCAGATGTGACCCTTGAATGCACAAGCCATGTGTGATCCCACTCTCCCTCCCCAAAATAAAAATACAGTTAAACAGACATGAATGTTTTGGGGGGATCAGAAGAGGGATATCTCAGTTTTATAATAATTGTTATTGTTTGCTGGATAATGACCTGGATGGAGGAGGGTGGGTGAATGTAGACATTACTGTATTTTTTTTTCAGGAGTGTAAATTCTCTCCACCTGACTGCCCCTTAAGATTCTATACACAGTGCTTGTTGTACCCCCAGGCTAGGAGATGTGGTTTGATCAATAGGAAAGGGGTTATGCATTTCCTCAAACACTGCAGATGACCCCAAAATTTGGTTTTCCTCAATTCCTGCTTTGAGTGACTTATTTTAGTGTTTTTCTCTGAGTGCTCCGGTTCATTCCTGGGAAGTCTTTCCTCCTGCAATAGCAGATGATACTATGATCTGTACTACTTTCAGATTTTGTACATATATAATTTGACCTTATAACAGCAAACGGACAGACGGACAGCTCTATGGTCACCAAGAGGACAATAGATGCAGTCTATAATGTCAAATGGCCACAGGCACAATTCAGTGAAGTGCCGCGGCAGTTCAGGAGGGCTTGCATCTGTTTCCCTCTTTCCCTTTTGCCCTCAGCCTCCTATTTATTTTTGGCAGCAAAGGGAAAGGACAGAAGTTTTAAAGTTTCAAAAGATTCATGGCTTAGAAACAGTTCACTCTACTATGTAGCTGTTAGAAAAGATGAAGTCATGAAATTTACATACAAGTGGTACAACATGGAAAGTATCATGCTAAGCGAAATGAGTCAGAAAGAGAGGGATAGACATAGAAGGATTGCATTCATCTGGGGGACATAAAGTAACAAAATAGGAGATTAATACCCAAGAATAGCTGAGATCAGCACCAGGAGGATTACTCCATAGCTTAGTGGCCAGTCGGGCATTCTAGAGGAAAGGGCAGATCAGATAGAGAAGGGAGCACCAAATAAAGGATGTTTGGAGGATCCTCCCAGGAGGGGAGATGCATGTCGAAAGTAGACTATGGACTGAACATGTTTGCCACTCAATGCCTCTTTTGCAGACCACAACACCCAAAAGGAGAGAGAGAACACAGGGGATTGCCCTGCCACAGAGGCAGGGGGGAATGGGAGGATGGGGGTGGGGGGGATATTATCCATGGTGGTGGAAAATGGGCACTGGTGGAGGGATGGGTATCTGATCATTGTATAATCGAAACCCAAGCACAAAAAATTATAAATCTACAACTGTACCTCATGGTGTTTCACTAATAAAAAAAAAATGAAAAAAGAAAGAAACAGTT